TATCGTATCGCCAAATTCTTGCCAATACACAGCCCTACTAAAAACCATCAGTAGGTTTGGGAGTTGATTTTGAGTCCATCTTCAACCCGAAAAAATCCAACTAGCTGATCTTACCAGCCCATACCAGTACTCCACCTCCACCTTGCTGGCGTCTGAGGTGAAGAGGTGCTCTGTGCCCATTACTGATCCAGCCACGKGCTCGTCCRTCTGGTCCCTCGAGAGGCACTCTGATCTCATCAGTCCATAAAGCCTCAGAGAAATCTGTCCTCAGATATTTCTTGGCCCAGTCTTGATGTTTCAGCTTGTGTGTCTTGTTCGTTGGTGTTCGGGTTTCAGCCCTCCTTACCTCGGCCACGAACGCCTTGTACTTCTGGGCACTCCAGGTAGGTTGCAGTTCTGGAAGGAGGATAATGGATTCCTGGTAACTTCGTGTTTGATTCTTCTCAAATCACTGGCTGTTTTTTGTTTCTCAAACACGTTTCTTGCCACCCTGTTGACTATTTGCAGCAAAACGTTTGATGGTTCTGTGATCACGCCCCAAAATCTTAGCAATTTCAAGAATGTTGCATCCCGCAGAAAGACTTTTTTGACAATTTTGGATTTTTCAGTCACTTAAATTTATTTTGTGGCCCGTTTTGCCTGAGGAAAAGAATCTGCCTAATAATTACACACACTTTTGTTATATTAAACAAATACACATCAGCTTTTATGCTTTTATCCAATAAGCATTCAAGTTTATACAGTTTGGAGTTGGAAAATATGCATGTAAATGATGATATGGTCAAAACTACAACTTGCCTAATAATTGTGCACACAGTGTATTTGTTTATTTGTTTGTTTGTTTGTACATCACCTCATTGTTTTGTCCTCCCATCAGACCGTTGTGGAAAGGGACTAAAGACTGGGATTCAGGCAAGGAGTCTCTGGCCATGTCTTACGAAGAAAAGCACCAGCTGAGCCTCGGCATCAACCATTTACCCACCCAGAAGCTGGGCGGCGTGGTTGAGATCATCAGGACTCGGGAACCCGCCACGTGCGGCACCAACCCGGACGAGGTCGTGATCGACTTCGAGGTTCTGAAGCCGTCCACTCTGCGGGAGCTTCAGGGCTACGTCAGGTCGTGCTTCTTCAAGGGTTGCGAGAAATGTCAAAGTAAGTTCAAATACTTGCGTTGTCTCGAGAAGAAAAAAATTGTATAGGTCTTTGGACGGGTTCTTCTCTAATGAAACGTTTCGTCTCTCCTCCAAGAGACTTCTTCAGTCTGAGAGTTTCAGGCAAAATTCAGGCTTTTAAGCCCTGCCTCCATGTGACTGATACTCACATCACATGGCTATTAGGGGTGTAAGAAAATATCGATACACTGAAATATCGCGATATTTCA